TGGAGCCCAGTGCCAGCTGCTAGTCAGAGAGGGCAGAGCCCAGCCAGCTCACCTGCCCCAAGGGTAGGGGGAGCACAGGGTTGAGGTGAGCCTCAGACTTGCGGCCGAGGTGGGTATGAAGCTCTGCCACCCTTCTTCAAGGGCAGGGAACATCTGGTGGCTTCAGGGAAGGGAGAGGGGAAAGGGGAAAGGAAAGAGGGGAGAGGGGAGAAGGGGGAGAGGAGAGGGAAGAGAGGAGAGGGGAGAAGGAAGAGGGCAGAGAAAAGAGAGGAGAGGGGAGAGAAGGGGAGTGAGAAGTGGGGAAAGGGGAGAAGAGAGGAGGGATGCTCCTCAGCTCCTTTCTCTTAGACTAGTTCAGGAACTAGAACTTCATAAAACCTGTGGATTTTTGCAGATCTGTAGCATTTTCAGACTCACCCTGCACCCCTTTCCCCATGACTATGCCCATGGATATCCTCACAGCTGATTCTGGAGGGTTTGCCATCCCTGCCTGTGCTGTCCTCCTCTTGCAGGGGAGCCCCCCTGCCCTGGGATGGCCACAAGAACGCAACAAGCCATCCCCTCCCCAGGCAAGAGAAGAAAGATCCAGACTCCCGGATTAGGAGGGATCAGGCGTTGATGCCTCCACAAAGCGCTGCAGGAGGAGGGTGACCCCTGTGCCTCCGTGCCCCAGAGCCCCTTACCTGCTGTCGGGCAGCAGGGCAGGGGCCCTGCGTGCCGAGCAGTCCCGGGCAGGGCTGGCAGGGCCCAGGAGTGCACGGGACACCCGCGTGGGCACAGGGCCCAAGCGTGCAACGACAGCTCCCGCCGAGTGAATGTGGAGGAACCCGTTTGGCTTTTAAAGGCTGCCCTGGCCTGGTTGGGCTGGGAGTGGGCGAGGAGCGTCAGGGGCAGGGCAGGGACTGCCTGCCCTCCCTAGTGGGAAGGGGAGCTGCACCCTCATCCTGGGGTCAAACCCAGAGAACAGGCACTGAAAGGGATGGTGGGACCCCAAACCTCTCTGCTGCTGCACAGCACTGAGGTGCTGGAGCAAGTCCAGCCGGGGACTGCCCAACGAGGGCAGCAAAGGGCTAGAGCACAAGTTAGGCTTGGTTAGCCTGGAGAAGAGGCTCAGGAGTCACCTCATGGCTCTCAGCAACTCCCTGACAGGGCTGGAGAGAGGTGGGGGATGTGTGTCCTGCCAGGGCTGCAGGGAGAGGAGAGAGGGAATGGCCTTGAGCTGAGCCAGGGCAGAGTCAGAGGAGATGGTAGGGAAATGTTTTCCTTGTGAGGGTGTTCAGGCACTGGGATATTGCCCAGGGAGGTGGTGGAGTTACCATCCCTGGAGGTGTTGAAGAGGTGTCTGGATGTGGCACTGGAGGATATGATTTGGTGTTTAGGGGTTCCAGCAGTGACAGGTTAATGGTTGGACTTGAACTGAGAGGTCCCTTCCAGCCTCAATGATTCTATGATCCTGCACCACTGGCTCCTGGCAAACACCCCTCACCTCCACTCCCCATCCCTCACCCTGGCCACAGCTTTCTCCCCAAGCCCCTTCCCTCCTCACGCCCCAAATGCTCATTCCACAGCCCTGCACTCCCTGCCCTACATCACCAGACATTCACCTGGTGTGACTGTGCATGGCCCAGCAAACCAGCAAAGACACTCAATCATGGGCCACTGCTGCCTGGCACCTGCCCTGGGGTTTTCCAGCATCTCTGTGAACTGTGGTCCAGGCAGGAGCCCTGTGGGCTCAGGGCAGGCAGGATCCCTGTGCTTGGCTATCTCAGCAGCTGCAGATGGCTCATGAGTCACCATTTGGCCACGTGTGCCTGGAAACCCACACAAGAAGTTTCCCCGGCTCAGGATGCTGCCTGGCCCTCAGCTGACCCTTGGCCAAGGAGCCAAGAGGCGTCTTCCCTGCAAAACCTTGTAAAAACTACTGCCAGGCTGGGTCACTCCTTCTTTGACCTCAAGTCTTTACAGGCACCCCTGCCACCCTCAGCCCAGCCAGTGGCCACACAGCTGACAGCCCACACTGCATCTTGTGAACAGCCCCACAGGGACCTGGATACTGTTAGACACGTGCAGAGTAGGTCCTTGGAGCAGGCACAGTGACCCCAGGGCACTGCCTGCATGTCCTTCCTTGCCCTGGCTGTGGCCATGCATCCACGGACCTGGGTGAGCACTGTCAGGGGGGCTGAATGCCCCAGAAAGCCTGAGGTCTTTGTCAGGGATAGCCCTCAGGAGACCCCTGGACACAGCCTGCTCAAGTGAGACTCACCTGCAGTGCTGCCTCCAGCTCTGGGCCCAGCACAGGGAGGACATGGAGCTGCTGGAGTGAGTCCAGAGGAGGCACCAGGATGATTAGAGGATGGAGCAGCTCTGCTGGAAGGAAAGGCTGAGAGAGTTGGGATTGTTCAGCCTGGAGAAGAGAAGCTTTGGGGTGACCTCATTGTGGCCTTCCAGTGCCTGAAGGA